TCGAAGGTCAATGAGAACGAAATACGTGGGGAGACTCAAAAGGTAAAGCACTTGCAGCATATGTACTAGGTCTGGTAGAAAAGACCTAGGGTAGACGAGTGCCAGGGACCAGTGGTGTCCTTTACTGAAGACGACCTGGAGATGGTGCAGTATGCACAGAACGATGCCTTGGTAATATCCCTCCAGATTGGAGAGTGCCAAGTGAAGCGCATCTTAGTTGACCAGGGCAGCTCTTGTGACATCACGTATGTCAAGTGTTACAAGGAGCTTGGCCTTCACTAAGATGATTTGGAGCAATCCAATGGTCCAATAGTCGGGTTCAATAGAACGCCGACATGGCCCCTGGGGGCGATAAGTCTGGAGGTGCAGGCTGGCACCAAGAAGGTAAAAACTGAGTTCACAATAATTGACACTCCTTCCCCTTACAATGTTATCCTGGAAAGGCCATGGCTACACGCAATGGGGGCTGTTCCCTCAACATTGCACTAGCTATTGCGGTTCCCAACAGAACATAGAATTAAGGAGGTCAGAGGGGATCAAGTGCAGGCAAAGAATTGCTCCATGGCAGCAATGAAATCAACTTGTAACATATAAGAAGCAGAACCAGCAAAGATTAAAGATGAGGACATGGAAGTCCTGGATGACGTCAGCAAAGAGCTAGCTGAGAAGAGTGAGGAAGCCCTAAAGAAAATCCTTGTCCAGCAAGAAGATGAAGAGCGCTTCTTCCTTCTCGGCTAGGGCTTGACCGAGGAAGAGGAAAAAGAGCTAGAGGCGTTTTTGAGAGCAAACATTGAGGTGTTTGCCTAGACACCGTACGAGATGCCTGGCATTAACGCCGAGGTACTTTCCATAGACTGAATGTGGACAGGTCGGAAAAACCTGTCATCTAGCGAGCAAGAAGGCCGACATTGATGCATGTTGAGGCAGTAGAAGAGGAAGTAGATAAACTTTTGGAGGCTAGAGCAATTCTAGAGGTGAATTACCCAACATGGCTATCAAACACGGTGGTTGTGAAGAAAAAGAATGGGAAGTGGAGGGTCTGCATGGACTTCACCAGCCTAAACAAGGCTTGTCCCAAAGACAGTTTCCCACTACCCAAGATTGACCAATTGGTGGATGCCACCTCAGGACATGGAAGATGAGCTTCCTAGATTCTTACAGGGGGTATCATCAGATAGCTATGTACCCCCCAGATAAGGAGAAGACTGCATTCATCACCCCAAAAGGGTTGTATTGCTACAAAGTGATGCCTTTCGGGCTGAAAAATGCAGGAGCAACTTAACAAAGGCTGGTGACCAAGATGTTCAGGCATCTAATAGGCAGAACAGTGGAGGTATACATAGATGACATGGTCGTGAAGACCAAGGAACTTAAGGATCATCTGGAAGACTTAAAGGCAATTTTTGACATCCTTAGAACATATCGGCTCCGACTCAATGCATCGAAATGCGCATTTAGAGTTGGGTCTGGTAAGTTCTTAGGATACTTGGTTACCAGAAGGGGAATTGAGGCTAGCCCGGATCAGATCAAGGCCATCTTAGAATTAAAGAGCCCAACATCGGTAAAGCAAGTGCAGATGTTGATTGGAAAGGCTGCAGCCCTAAATAGATTCATAAGCAGAAACTCTGACAAGTGTAAACCTTTCTTCAACTTAGTGAAGAAAGCCACAGACTTCTTATGAACCAAAGAGTGAGAAGTCGCCTTGGATGACTTGAAGAAGTATTTGACCACAGCTCCAGTTCTCTCAAATCCAGTACCCGGAGATGAGCTGTTCTTATACTTAGCAGTTTCAGAGCATGCAGTGAGTGTAGTAGTAATCAGAGAAAAAAAGAGAAAGCAAAGGGTAGTTTACTATGTGAGTAAAACCCTAGCGGATGCAGAGACCAGATACCTACCCTTGGAGAAGCTAACACTAGCTTTGGTAATAGCCTCTAAGAAGCTGAATCATTACTTTCAAGCCCACAAAATTATGGTGTTAACTGAGCATCCTTTGAAGTCCCTATTGCAACAAGGAGATCTGACAGGTAGGATAGCTAGATGGGCAGTGGTGTTGGGCCAATATAACCTGGAATTCAGACCCAGAACAGCAATCAAAGGCCAAGTTTTGACCGACTTCGTGGCCAAGTTCACACCAGGCGCCATCATACATTAGGCTCCATTAAGCCGAGGTCTAGGTGAACAAGGAGAAACCCAATTGGGGATAGCCAAACAGAGGAAAGAGGAGAAACTCAGGCCCTGCAGTATTTACGTTAGCGACTCTTTCTGCCTGTTTGTTGACGGAAGTTCAAACCGACAAAGAGTCGGGGTAGGAGTAGTGCTAGTATCGCTGGATGGACAGATGTTGGAACAATCCATTCACTTGGGGTTTAATGCCTCAAATAACGAAGTAGTGTATGAAGCACTAATAGTAGGATTAAAGTTGGCAGCAGCAATGGAAGCCGATGAGGTGATGGTCTTCTGTGACTCCCAGCTTATCATCAACCAAGCAACAGGCGAATACGCTGCCCGAGATGAAATGATGGTGGCCTATGTAAAGGAAATGGGCAAACTGATGGCATTGTTCCAAAATTGTCAACTACAGCAAGTCGGCCGAGATGACAACAGCCATGCTGATGCCTTGGCCAACCTGGCTAGTGCAATGAAACCAGGAGAGGCAAGGACAATAATGATTGAACACTTGTCAGGTCCAAGTGTAGAACCACTAAACACAGAGCATGAAGCAATGTGTGTGGATATGGGACCAAGCTGCATGGATGCAGTAATAGCATTCCTTAAAGAGGAAAAACTGCCAGATGATCATAAAGAAGCACACAAGATCAGATTGAAGTTGGCAAGATTTAGTCTGACAGCAAAAGGGCATCTCTACAGAAGATCTTTTACTGGACCCCTTTTGAGGTGTGTGCATCCTTCACAAGTTGAAGACTTCTTGTATGAGATACATGAAGGAGTATGTGGAAGCCACACTGGGGGCAGGTCACTTGCTCATAGGGCCATTACTTAGGGATACTGGTGGCCTTATATGCAGAAAGATGCTGAAGCCTATGTCAAAAAATGTGAGAAGTGTCAGAGGTTTGCATCTTTAATACACTAACTAGTAGCAGATCTGAACCCAGTGCCCAGTCCTTGGCCATTTGCCCAATGGGGCATAGACCTTGTTGGACAGCTACCTCAGGCAACTGGACAAAGGAAGTACTTGCTAGTGGCAACAGATTACTTCACCAAGTGTGTTGAAGCTGAACCCCTTGCAAAGATTCAGGACATTGATGTAAAGAACTTCATATGGAAGAACATCATCACCAGGTTTGGGATCCCAAGAGCAATAATAGTAGACAATGGTACACAGTTTGACAGTAAGCTAATCAAGAGCTTCTGTGCAAAGTACAATTACTATTCCACTCCAAGTTTCCCTCAAAGCAATAGACAGGCAAAAGCGTCCAATAAAGTTATCTTGGATGGGATCAAAAAGAGGCTAGAAGTAGCAAAAGGAAACTGGGTGGATGAGTTGCCCAGTGTACTTTGGGCATATCGGACTACGCCGAGAAGATCAACTGGAGAATCCCCATTTGCCATGGCTTATGGCACAGAGGCTGTAATCCCATTAGAGGTCGGCATCCCAGGGGTCAGAACCCAGGGAGTGGAAAATGGGACTAATGATGCATTTTTAGCCCGAGATCTGGATCTATTAGAAGAAAGAAGAGAGAAAGCAACAATTCAGCTAGGGCATACCAGCAGCAGCTTGCCAAGGCTTACAATAAAAAGGTTAACCCACGAGAATTTCAAGTTGGGGACCTCGTCCTGAGAAAGGTCGTCGGCAACAAGAAGGATCCCAGAGAGGGCAAGTTTGGCCCAAACTGGGAAGGACCTTATAGAATTATCTCGGTCCTGGGCAATGGGGCATATCAATTTGAAGATAGTGAAGGTAAAGAGTTGCCAAGACCTTGGAATACTTGCAACCTGAAGTTTTTCTATCATTAAGGTTTCCTTTAGTTTTTAAGTTTTTTTGTTATTAGCCGAAGTAATTAATAAAATTTTAGCTCGATTTTCTATTTGAAACTCATGTAGTATGACTGACCAGTCACTTGGCGATGTTTCTGATTGAAACATGACGAATGACTTAGACTTATTATATGGCAAAGTTTCTACTTGCATATAATAGAGTTGAACTAAGTTGGCGATGTTTCTGATTGAAACATGACGAATAACTTAGACTTATTATATGGCAGAGTTGAATTGCACTTGCATATAATAGAGTTGAACTAAATTGAATCAACCTGGACTTGCCATATCGGCAGAGTCAGACAAAGATTAAAACTAAGTACATGTCGGTTAGATTAACAAAGAGACCAAGGTTGGTAACCTCGGCCAGTCTTTGTTTGAATTTGACCTCAGCAACGAGATCAAAGCCACATGCTTAATGAGAACCCAAGTGGAACTTAAGTTCACATCAGGGGGTAGAGGACTGGAGAATGATGCATGGGAGTTGGAATCTACAAGCTAAGGTTGGTTTAACACTTGTTGAAATTTTAAGAAAAATTTACAAGTTGAAGTTAAGCCAAGATTGTGTTGAAAGAAGTATCTACGTACTTGCCGAGATTACCATGTTGCCAAGACTTGGAAAATAATTGAAGACAGAAGTCTTGATAAACATTTATGTTTGAAAATACTTTTACAAATGTTTTCAAGTATTAAGTCATGGCCGAGATACACAGTCAACAGTTATACTCAAAGTATTTTACCTCGAGGAAATTACACAGTTAAGGTGTACTTTAAAAACATGTAGCATATTCTAAGTATGGAATCATACAAGATAGTAAAGAAAAGACAAGCATTCAAACACTTAGTCAAAAAAAAAGACTTGCATTCAAAAGGGAATAAGGGCACTTCGGCCTACAAAAAGACTACTTGTTCTGATTACAAAAGTGGCACGTCGGCCAACTATGAAAACTAAAAACATTGTTCAGAAAAATACTAAGTATAAAGGAAAATGTTTATAGTCAAGACTACTCGGCGTCGGCGACGGACTGTGACTTGGCCCCAGAAGACAACTGGAAAGACTTTTTGGCAACGTTCTCAGCCTTGAGCTCAGCATCGATCTCTTGTAGAGTTTGATCGAGGCTCTTCTCGGTGATTGACACCTCGGATGTTGTCTTCTTTGGGGAGGCATCTTTTGAGACCTCGTCCTCCTCTTCCTGAGTCAAGTCCAAGACTTGCTCATTTAGAGTTGGGGACTTGGCCCCAGCATCCATAGCCTTCTCAGACTTATCGGCCTCAGCTTCCTCCTCGGACTTAACCTCATCCTCGGATTGGCTTGGAGTTGGGGGGAATGGCAGGACGAAGCAGCTATTTTCTCGGAGAGGCGAGTCCTCAAGGATAGCCAACTCTTTTAAAGCAGCCATCCAACCAAGGGTGAAACCCTTGTTGCATGCCTATTTTACTTGCTTCTTGTTGTCCTCACGGACGTCGGTTGCCCCCTCTTCGTATGTTTTCTCATCCGCCGCCTTGATCTCGGCGTCCTTTGTGGCCAAGGCAGCAATGAGTTCGGCCTAGGCTTCGGTAGTCTTCGCTTCGGCCTTTTTTTGCTCATCTTTGAGGACCTTAGCGACGGCCTCAGCAGCTCCAGCCTTCTCTTCAGCCTCGTCTTGGGCCTGTTTTGCTGCCTTAGCCTGATCTATTAGAGTCTTCATCTTGGCCTCAGCCTTATTTATGGTCTTGAGCAAACCAACAGCCTCCTTCGTCTTGCGGTTCAACTCCTTCTTGATTTCGAAGGCCTGCATCGCGACGAAGTGGGCATGCTGGGTCGCCTAGAAGAAGTGGATAGAACAAAAGTTAGTAAAAAATTCCAAGTATGAAAAAACAGAGAACGAAAAGTACCAAGTGTTAGGGGCTTACTTGTATGGAGTGTTGCAACTACAGAGCAAAATTTTCATATTCGCTAACCTCGGCGTTGCGTTCGAGGTCCTTTGGAAGGAGCAAGGCAGTAGAGAGGGCAACGCCGACTTCGATGTCAGTCGCCCTGTCGCCGACTCTGACTGGTTTTACCTCGATGGTAATTGGAAGGGCCTAGGGGGCATCGGACTTCAGAGACCCCGAGGTTGTTGCAGACTCTAACCTCGACTTCTTTAACCGGGTTGATTCAGAGAAAGCAGCCTCGGTGGGCCTCTTTTTAGTGGTGGAGGCACTTTTTTCTGCCTCGGCTATCTTGGATATCGACAAGGTATCCTCAGAATCAATCTGAGTTACCGTTGCCTTAGCTTGGGCTTTCTTCAGTCTTTTTGGCTTTGGCTTTGGCTTTGGCTGAGACTGGGATGGTGAAGGTTATACGGAGACAGTGTTAGGATGTCGGCTAGAAGGTCATCTACAACAGCCTTCTTATGACCCATCTTGACAGCGGTCGAAGCAGCTATTTTCTCGGAGAGGCGAGTCCTCAAGGATAGCCAACTCTTTTAAAGCAGCCATCCAACCAAGGGTGAAACCCTTGTTACATGCCTGCTTCACTTGCTTCTTGTACTCCTCTTTGACGTCGGCTGCCCCCTCATTGTACGCTCTCTCATCCGCCGCTTTGATCTTGGCGTCCTTTGTGGCCAAGGCAGCAATGAGTTCGGCCTAGGCTTCGGTAGTCTTCGCTTCGGCCTTTTTTTGCTCATCTTTGAGGACCTTAGCGACGGCCTCAGCAGCTCCAGCCTTCTCTTCAGCCTCGTCTTGGGCCTGTTTTGCTGCCTTAGCCTGATCTATTAGAGTCTTCATCTTGGCCTCAGCCTTATTTATGGTCTTGAGCAAACCAGCAGCCTCCTTCGTCTTGCAGTTCAACTCCTTCTTGATTTCGAAGGCCTGCATCGTGACGAAGTGGGCGTGCTGGATCGCCTAGAAGAAGTGGATAGAACAAAAGTTAGTAAAAAATTCCAAGTATGAAAAAACAGAGAACGAAAAGTACCAAGTGTTAAGGGCTTACTCGTACGGAGTGTTGCAACTACAGAGCAAAATTTTCGTATTCGCTGACCTCGGCGTTGCGTTCGAGGTCCTTTAGAAGGAGCAAGGTAGTAAAGAGGGCAACACCGACTTCGATGTCAGTCGCCCTGTCGCCGACTCTGACTGGTTTTTCCTCGATGGTAATTGGAAGGGCCTAGGGGGCATCGGACTTCAGGGACCCCGAGGTTGTTGCAGACTCTGACCTCGGCTTCTTTAACCGGGTTGATTCAGAGAAAGCAGCCTTAGCGGGCCTCTTTTCGGTGGTGGAGGCACTTTTTTCTGCCTCGGCTATCTTGGATATCGACAAGGTATCCTCAGAATCAATCTGAGCTACCGTTGCCTTAGCTTGGGCTTTCTTCAATCTTTTTGGCTTTGGCTTTGGCTGAGACTAGGATGGTGAAGGTTATACAGAGACAGTGTTAAGGATGTCGGCTAGAAGGTCATCTGCAACAGCCTTCTTATGAGCCATCTTGACGGCGGTTACAGTTCGATGTCGGCGTTTGCATTGAGAAAGGGGGATTAGTTATAGAGCCGAGGTTGATGGTTGTTCTGCTGGATCAGAGGTTGGTCCCTGATCTGGCTGAGGTGATGAAGTTGTAGGAGGAGTTATGACGGAAGGAGGAGACTTGCTCTTCTTCGGGACATCGAGCAAGACGGATTTATAAGTCGGGATATAGTTCAGGAGCAGAGGAGCCTTGCGTTGATTAATAGGCAAGTTGAGTAGCTTCCTAAAATCCTTGCTGGGATAGAAGTTTTTGCGGAAGTCCTTTGGAGGCTGAAGAAGAACTGCAAAATAAAACATACAGACATCAGAACATTTAGAAGGAACAAAGTGTTAAAGACTTGAGAAGCAAGTAAAAGTAAACACTTGGCTCTTACCATCTCCCTCTCTGAACAGTGTATGGCTTAGAGGGTAGAGGTGAAGGTCATCATCTAGAAGGAACTCCTAGTTGCCCAAGACGATGAAATAATCATCCCCGGTGCCCTTGTTGGAATCAGGGAGATCGGCGATGAGTTTGTATTCCGTCAACCTCAGCTTAAGGTAGTAAATGTAGCCTTTTTCTGACTTAAGGCCACACATGGTGTAGCAATACTGAATGTTGGCTAGAGTTACCCTAGCATTTTCTCGGCTAGCTAAGGCGATAATACTGTTGATGACTCGGTAAGAGTTAATGGCTAATTGCATTGGGTTGAGTTTATAATAGTGAAGGACTTCTCGAAAGAGAATATCGAGAGGGAGCCTAAGTCCACACTCTACGAAGGCTACAACTGGGAAAGGCATAGAGTCGTTCTTGGGCATGATGGAGTCCTCCTCCCCGGCCAGCCTAAGGTGAACATCGGCAGGGATGTTGAACTCCTGCCTGAAATATTCTAGCTTAAGTGGGGTGTCTACTTTCCACCTCCACATACACATAACGTCAACTTAAGGAGAAAGTGTTGGATTGTAAAAGGAAGTGGTTTTTTAGGGTTTAAAGGACCTCGGCAAAACCTAAACGAGTGCTGGGGCAAGGGTTTTTGAAGATCTAAAGGGAATTTGTTTCAATTTTTCCTAAAGTTTGTAAGTTCGAGAACAAGTCCCAAACCTAAGGCTACGGAAACAAGGATTGAGGGCAAGAATCTGGAAAAAGACACAGAAAACAGAAACAAAAACATGATTCAGACTCAAAAGGACGAGCTAGAATTCACACAGAAAACAGAAACAAAAACATGATTCAGACTCAAAAGGACGAGCTAGAATTCAAAGAACACTGAGTAAAATTTGTGCAAGTGAGTAAGGCCAAGAACAATGGCGAAATAAACAAAGTGTATGAGCGATGTGTGCACAAAGGTCATGAATCAAAAGCAGATTGGATAAACACAAAATGGCATGATAGGACATGCTCAAAACATGCGAATGATGAAGTTTTAATCACAGGCAGAGACTGAAGAAAGTGAATATATTCAACATGGCAAATAAGCAGAGGCAACAGAGTATGAAACTAAAAAGGGGGGACAATAGTAACTCACCGAAGAAAATGATGTCGGTGTAAAGTTCGCTGGGGTCAGACAATGGCAACAATCGGAAAAGAGCAGCAAAAGCTTCGCCGGAGGAGGTGAACGGAGTAATTGCAGAGCTTGAGAGCTTGAAACAATGGAGGATTTGGGAGTAAAGAGAGAAATTTTAAACGCAAGCGGAGATGCAAAAGTGAAAAAACGGAGAGAGAGAGAGAGAGAGAGAGAGAGAGAGAGAGAGAGATGATTTTGATCAAAAAACGTAGAATGGCGGCAAAATGGCAATTAGTGTGCCTAAGACGACGTGCTTGTCAAACGGCGCACTCAAATGCGATGCGACTTAATGGCGCGTGTCAGGCACGGCTCAGTAGGGAAAAGACGCGTGGCAAAAACGATTGAAATACTGTGCGTGACAGCTCATATGCGTGTTGAAACTCTTGGAGTTCTTGATTTAATAGAGCAGGACCTCGGCTAGGGGGACGATCTCGATTGAAAAACTTGAACAAATTTGGTTATTGGTTCTGAAGCAATGATGAAAACAGACTAAGTCTTGGTCGTATTGAGCCGACGAATGGTGACCTCGGTAATGAAGGGCAAAGTGAGCTTAGCCGACGTGCTAAATGGAAGAAACAATATAGGTTCCATCACCTCAGGATGCCGAGGTAATAGAACCTAGGGGGCTGTTGTGGAAACATAATTCTTGAATAACAACACGTGGCTGAGATGGTACCGAGGTGCCAGCCGAGGTGCCACGTGTTCTGGACATGATGCTGCGAAGATACCGGAGTCCGAGATAAGCGGATAAGGGACAAGAGTCCTAGAATGAGAAAGGACTTCAGTTTGGATAAAGATAAGACTCTTAGGGAGTTTATCCCAATCTAACTGGGAGTCCAGGATTAGCATTGAGCCAGAGTCCATTGAAGCTAGGCTTCTATTGGGATCAGGTCAGTGTTGGCTATAAAAGAGAGGCACCCTCGTGGGTCTAAGGTACGCTTTTTGTATTCGAAATAGTGAGTTAAGCATTTTTGCTATCTTTGAGAGATAACTAACTTGATTGTCGGAGTGCCCCCGGGTGGACGAACCACCGCTGGAGTTTTTTTCTTTCTGTGACAGGTCGTTCGGGTGTGATCTATTCTGCCGGTGCTCTCCAGCTAAGTGCCTGTTTGGCAGTGTGGTCAAAAAATAGCACACACAGTTCTATAGGACTGTTATAAGTTATGTTATGATTTATGGTATTGAATTTCGAGCAGTTAAGAAAAAATATGCTTGAAAATTATTGTAGCTAAAATGGGAATGGTGAGATGGATAAGTGGTGTTAACAATAAAAGGAAAAATAATAATAATAATAATAATAATAATAATCAACTAGAAAGAAGTTAGAAGCTGTAGCAATTGAAGATAAAATGAGAGAAAATCATTTGAGATGGTTTGGTAATGTACATCACACACTAACTAATGCACTTTGTTTGAGCGATGTGGATGGTGGTAAAAGAAGTAGAGGAAGATTAAGGAGAACATGGGCTGAGGTGGTAAGAATTAACATAATTACATTAAGGTTTAAACTTAACAGATATAATCAACGGGTGGAAATGGATCTATATAGCTGACCCAAATGATTGGGCACAAAGGCCCTGTTTGGTAAAGCTGTGGGAAAGTGATTATAATGTATAGCCTAACAGCTTATAGCTTATAGTTGTGAACATAAGCTGATTTTTGACTTATAAATTAAGCTTCTCCTCCCCTACTCAAAGAATAAGTTGATTTTTAACTTACAAAAAACTATAAACTGTATTGTTAAACTGAACCAAACACATCAAAATAACTTAAATTAAGCTAAAAACTGAAATGAGTTAGAAATAAGCCTTACCAAACAGGGCCAAAGGCTTGTTAAGTTGAGTTGAGAAGATGGTTTTATGTGGGCCTGATTATAGTTGGTTTTAGAGCTAAAAGTTTGGTAAAGGATAGTGCCTTTAGGGGAAATAAAAGGTTTGGGTTTTAGTGTTGCTGTAATTAAACGAGAAAAGATATGATTTTGAACAGTACCCTAGTGCCAGTAATTTGCAGATTTTGGGTTCGTTTTATGTGTTATAGTTTTAATTGAGGGATTAGGCTTTCCTGGTTAGGGATTGAGGGTGAAATGAAGTTTGGGCAAATCTCATAGAGGATTGCAAAAGGTTGCATCACACTGTCCAAAGACAAGCATTTAAAACTCTAAAAAATTCTCACAAACTAATCAACCACAAAATTAGAATCAAAACATGGTTTTGTATGCCATATGGCGCAAAAGGATACTTGTAGCAGACGTAATTGGAACAAAGGCTTGTTGAGTTGATTTGGGTACATAGCTTTGTATACAACTCCAATGATGCCAAACTTTAATGGGAGTTGGATTCTCTATTTAGAAACTAAGGCCATGTTTGTTTGGGCGGACTGGATTAGCATTCCCATGACTAATAATCTCAGGATTACAAATCTATTGGATTATGTATCCTATCTTAACTATAGTCAAGTTTAAAATAATTAGTCCGTACTTCAATTGTTTAACCAAATATCGGATTAATAATTTTATTGGACTATTAGTCCAATCCCAAACTCATGTCCACCCAAACAAACATGGCCTAAAGGCTTTGGCTTAAGAAACCTATCCAGACCAAATAAAATCATATATCTATTCTGGATAACTTGACCGATATTATGACCCGTGTAGGCATGTACTATAACTAGCACATATCTAGAAATTTTAGAAATCAAATGTCCCTGATGTATGGAAACATAGGAAATCTACTTCATTATATAAAGCGAACACTAAAATTGATATGGTTGGTAGTTCTTGTGTTGGGAGTAAGTTTGGTCTGAAATTTTGTAAATAATGCTCCTTGGCAATGCAGGAGAGAGCTTGATATCTGAAAATAACTTGTATAAGTGAGTGGATGGGAAATAACTGCTTCTGAGAGAAAAAAATGAAATGAGGTGAGAAATGTGCATAACGCCTCTCACCTCTAGTCATATAGAAAATGTACTAGGACCATACTTTAGCCTACAAATAAACATAAATAAAGAATGTACTGAGACTTACAACTTTATTTAGCAAGGTCCAAAGAAGGTCTCACCGTGAGATGAATCAAGTTCTAATTTTTGCTGTTGTCTTAAATATACCTTTACTCGTTCTTCTTTTGGTTTGCATCATATTATGTATTAACAAATAGCCTTCATAGGATATCCAGGAATCAGAAAGTGGATATGTTTTGTAAAGTTGATATGTGAAAATCCTTGATAATGAACAATTCTAATCATTATTAGAGGCTAGCAATGGAACACTTTGAATGTCTCTTGGTAAGCCCATCTTTCTTTCAACGATATCCTTGTTTCTGAGTTGGTCATGTTTCTTCTTCCCTCCCTTTTTGTTTTTCTGCATCTTCCAAGCACTGGATTCTCTTGTTGATGCCCCAAGGTAAAAGTTTCCTAAATCTAATTTTG